CGGGCGTCGCTCGCCTCCGCGAGCGGGGTGAGCTCGATGATCTGCGCGATGCATCTCTGCTGCGCATGGTCCCTCATCTGCTTCGGGCCCCGCTGACTGAGTCCGCCGACGGTCCGCCGACGGTCGCGCCTTCCTGGCTGAGGCCGTCGACGAGGCCGACGAGCGCCGTGGCGCCGATCGCCCCGGTCTCGGCCATCTCCGCGTCGATGTGAAGCTGGGGCGCGCTGCTGTGGATCTCCTCTGCCTTTTCTACCTCGCCGCGACGCTCTTCGCGCCTGCGTATCTGAGGTGCGATATGAGGTAAGTCTCGATGAGGGCGGCCTCGGTCTGGCGCTCCACGACGCTGCTGCGCAGACGCAGGCGGCGCGCCCGCCGCTCGCCCGCGCGCCCGCCGACGCTCGGCGGGCAGTTCATCCGCGACATGCGGCCGACGGGGCCGGGGGGTGAGCGCCCGCCGATTTGCCGCTGCATGTCTGGCGGGGCGGGGAACGAGAGGTCGCAATCTTGACTCGGGCACGACGGCTGCATAGAGTCGCGCGCGTCGAAATTGCACGCGGATCGGTGTTTTTGGCATCGCCCAGCACGAAGGGCCCCCCGTGCCTCGAGAGAACAGATAGCGCGAACAACGCCCACCATGCCGCTCGGGACCGCGTCGCCACTAGTCTGTTTGATATAGGCCCCCCCCCCGGAGCGGGGCACGAGCGCGCCGCGCGCCGCGCGCGTTGACTTGGTCGAACTGCGCCCTGGCGGGCGCGCGCGCTTCCAGTCCAGGGGTCGCCGCGGATAATGCTCGACTCCTGAACGCCATGTTCCTGCGGCCCAGGAGGCTGCGGCGATTCCAGAGACGCCCCGTGCTTCGCCGCCCGCGCGCCGCCGTGACGCAGCGGGCCTTAATCCCAGCGTGATTTTGCCCATCGGCCTGCATGGGGGCGCCGCGGTAGAGCGCGGAAGAATGGACCTCGCCGTCCACCTAGATCTTTCCGTGGCGGAGCGATCGCGCGTGACGATGCGCTCCAGTGCCGACGCAGGTGGGCACGTTTGCTTTAGCGCCCTCATTCTGCTGGAGTCCGATCTCGCGCAGCTCAGTCTCCAGGACGGCATCGGAGCGCCAGATCTCATGCGCTGCCACGCGCGCATCGTGACACATGCGCGCAGGCGCGAGATCGCCGACATACATGCGGACGCTGGTGTCGACATTGGCACCAGAGAACTCGCGCCCTGCAGTCGTCGACGATGCGGGGTCCGCGGCAACCGCGTCGCCCCCGGCAACCGTCGGGGGCGCGAACGAGACTCGAAACTTGACCGCCGCGTCGGCGTCGCTCATGAAGCACCCCACACGGTGCTGATAGCCCTGAGTCAATGCCACCGCTGATCGCGCCTGCTGCTCGTCGGCGTCGACCTTTCGCCACCTCGAAATCGCCGGGGAGGTATATCTCGCCCGCGGCGCCGTCGGAGCAGGCGGGGCCCGCCGAAGCGAACGCGTCCGGCATGTCGTGCTTCGTCGCGGCGCGGCACTGCCTGAGCTGCGTCGAGCGCCGCTGGGGCGCGAGGCCAACTGCGGCATCTTCTAGGCGCGCACGTGCGCGACCGTGCACAAGTTCAGTGTCATCGAATGACGCCGCAGTGTCCTGCCAAACGGGCAGAGTCCGCGCAGTAGACGCGCGCCCCGCGCGCGGGGCTTGTTGATCAACTTGCTCACCGGATGCGGCTGCGCAGAAAAAGAAGCCGTTCATCCCGTTGCCCTCGCAGCCGTCGCCGGGTGTTTTTGCATTCTGCGTTGCAGCGTCGAAGGGCGAGGGTGCTTTACAGGTCGTCGGCGGGGCTCTGGCGCGCAGGCGTGCGCTGGTTGAGCGCAACTTTGCGTGGCAATGCCATCTGCTGGTGCCCCAGGTCGGCTGGGGTCTTCTGCGTCTGCATGATCAAGGAAGCGTGCGCGGATGACCAAAACAAGTTGCCCCCATCCTTTCTCCACGGTGTGGTGCTCAGCCCAAATCGGCCATGGCGCTGTAGCCGCGCTCCTTCATGTAGTTCGAAAGGTCCATCCCTGTGTCATCTCGAATTTGCTTCACCCATGCATGAAACTGTTCCTCTATCCATGTCAGGCATATGCGTGTGCAGTCCCACTGCGGTATGTATTTCGGCGCGTCGTAGTTGAGGTTGCAATCGGCTTCGATGTATAACATCATGTGTCCAAGCAGCCATTGGGAGGGGAACGCCCACAACCCCTTCGTCATTTCATATGTTATGCTACGTCGGCGAACACGTGGGAAATTGCGTACCAGCATCACCATATCGTAGATGTAACTCGTGTGTCCACGAAGGCCGTGATATGTGGGGCCGCATGGGCCCGCATGGATGATGTGTGCTGATGGCGCACATGGCATGGTCCCTCATCAACCGGTGGAGCGCTTCGCCCGCATAGTGTTGTACTCCGTGTGCGTGGGGCCCCACCGTCGCGTCCAATTCGTCCGCCTCAGGGGTCCTCCGCAGTCCGTCGTTCCGGCCGGTGCCTATACAGATGCAGGTTTTGTTCGGCAGCAAAAAGGAGTATTTCGTGCAGGTACGCGATAAGCTTGTCGATGATGGCCACATTCTTCAACGTCGTGGTGGCACGGTGGGCCCTGGGCGGGAAGTACGCTGTGATGGAAACGCAATCAAACTGCGAGCTCTTCACTCTCGCGGCGCCGACCCGTTCGCGCAGGGCGGGATGAGGCTGCCATACCTTCAAAATAACAATGGGAGCGTCGAAACCATCTGCGGCTGAACCAGATTGGTTTGCTGCCTGCGATGTTCTTGATACTGCGCTGCCAGCCGAAATTCATCATCAGAAACTCTGGGGTCGCGTGGGCTTCGTACGCCGTCATGGTATTTTTCTGTATGCCAGGGAAGAATACTGCATGAGATGAGACGCATGCAGGCCGTCAGCGCGTGACATTAAAAAACGATATCCGGGGGCATGGGCATAATTATGTGTCCCTGCTCTGGAGATAGCTGAATCGTTCGGGCCAGAGCAATCTAGATGTGTATATATATATATATATATATATATATATGCACATGTACTTGTACATGTGCATGTACATGTACATATACATGTACACATACATGTTTGTATACATGTGTGCATGAGTGCACATACATACATACATACATACATACATACAGACAGACAGACAGACAGACATACATGCATACATACATACACACATACATACATACATGCATACATACATATACATCTGACCGTCGCCGTAATGATGCAGGGTCCCGAGTGAACCCTCTTCAGGGTCTCTTGAAGCTGTTTTCAAACTGTCTTAGGGGCCTCCTGGGCCGTCTTGGAGCCCTCTGGACTCTAGGCCCGTCTTGGTCCCCCTGGGCAACCTTGGGGGCATCTTGGGTCTTTTTCTGGGGCGGTCTGGGGGCCCTGTTGGTTTGTCTTGGGGCCCTCCTGGGCCAAACTGGAGCCCCTCCGGGGGCCTTCTTGGAGCGTCTTGGGGCCGTTTTGGGCCCCTCTTGGTCTTTCCTGGGCTCGTCTTGGGGCTCTCTTGGGCGTCTGGCGGGACATTTTGGACCGATCTCGAGGGCCTCTTCGGCCGTCTCGAGCGCTCTGAAGACCGAGAAACCGAGTATGCGAAAATGGCACCGAAACCAAAGGATGACCTATAATTTGTGCCTCCCGGGGGCCTCTTGGGAGTCTTCGGGTCCCCTTGGGCCGTCTGGGGAGCCCGTTGGGCCGTCGAATGGCCATCTTTGGCCCATCGTGGGCCATCTTGTGCCCATCGTGGCCGTCACGGGGTGTTCGTCGGGCCCTCCTGAAGCCTCCTGGGGCTCTCAGAGGCCGTCTTGAGGCCATCTGGGGCCATCGTGGACCCTCCTCGGCCGCTACGGAGCCAGCCTCCCCGGCTGGGAACGAAGTTGTGCCGGATCAGTCTTCTATGAATAAGGAAACCGATTGTACAAGCACAACTATATCACATGCTAGTGTCCACACAATACTTCTGAATGGACAGGACCAAGACATGTTACAAGCCAGCGGGTAACGTCATCCTGTCCTTTCGAAGCCACCGGGGCACGTGCCGGCGCTGCTCCTGATGCCCAGCCAGAGATGTACGTTGGGGTATTGTAGACTCGCAAACCCGTGTGCAAATGGGGATGGGGGCCAGGGACACGATAAAGGGAAAAAGGTCGGATCAGGAGAAAGAGAGAGAGAGAGAGAGTAGGGCGCAAACAAACCTACCTCGCTTTTGACAACCCTCGCTTCCAAGAGATACCAAGCGACGCCAAAATACGACCTGCGCTGGTCAGGCCGCTTGACGAGGTGGCGCGTGGTATGACTTGGTTTTGCCTGGAAGCGAAAGCGGGGTAGGTAATTCACGCTCTGAGAGAGACAATGTCTGCCCCGTGGCCCGAATTTACTCAACTTTCGGCCCCGCATCTTGACAAGAGTCCCGACCATTCCCCCGAACTGTGCTGACTTCCAACAACGAAGCAGTCCCAAAGGCCCGTCCGGCTGGCTGCTGGAGGCAAACGCAAGACTCGACCAAGACGATGTTTTTGTTGTGCTATGTTCGCATTCGTTTTCCTTCAATCCGCTTTCGCTGCAAAGCGAAATCGAAACGAAGACGGCCCAGGAAATCGCCAAAACACCGCCTAGGTCGACCCCTGGGCAAAAGAGGCGGCGAATCATCAGACGGAGGGAGGAAGAGGGACCACCTACCCGGCTTCTAGGTATACGAGCGGGTGTGCCGGAACCACAGAGCCCTTCGGGGCCGTCGGAAGATCTGGCCGAGGGGAGGCGCCCACTGCTCGGGGACGACCCCTGTTCGTAGCTCGTGCCAGGGCCTGCAGATGGACAGCGACAGCGAAGGCGAAGGGGGGAGGGACGAGGAGGAGGCGGAGGAGGAGGAGGAGGGAGGAGGAGGAGGAGGAGGAGGAGGAGGAGGAGGGAAGGGCGAGGAGGCGAGGCCTCCCGAACGCGGAGCGGCGCTGGGGCGCGCGGCTCCTGGCACTTGCCCCAGCACTCCTCGCCCTGCCGGCGCGCGAGGGCCACACAATTGAGCAGGGACCGACCGTCCCGGCATTCCTATGGTCATACCACGAAGTGTTCTTAGAACCCCAGCATGTTCTAAGACCAAAACCAATGTTCTTAGAACATAAACCCGATGCGTTAAAACAAAGCAGACTCCGCCAGAAACGTTCTATAAGAACATTTCGTGGGAACCACGAATAGTTCTTAGAACATTATTTGGTGGGGCTATAGGCGAGCCGGGAGGCTTCGCCGCAGCTTGAACACAACGGCCACAGCTTCGCAGAGGCTCCAGGACTCCCAGGCCGGCTGCTGGGTTTTCCCTCTGGCGGCCAAGGGCGATCAAGTTGGCGGTCAGAAGCTCAGACCGCTCAGTCCTGACTCCCTGGGGCCTTGGGGGGGATTCCCTGATCGACGAATGCTCTTAGCAAATCGAAAACCATCCACCGACCACAGACCATAACTGCTTGCTCAAGCTGCTCTCCCCTCCCTCCATCCCTCGCCGCTCAGGGGGAGGGAGAGGACGAGGTGTAAAGAGGGACATTCGGCGGCAGGTGGGAGGTCGGCGGGGGAATAGGAAGAGGGCGACGAAGAGGATCACCTGGGAATTGCCTGGCCGCAACGGTCCACGAGGTGCAGGCTACCAGAGAGCGCCAGGATCGAACACACGTCCCTGGACACGTCTGGCCCTGCTGGAGGCGCCCTCCAAAGCGGGGACCGCTGCGCTATTGTGGCCCAGAAGCAAGCCTGTCATGCGGGCCAGGTTCTCGTGCCCCTTCTTCGTAAAAGGCAGACGAAGGTGACGATGACGAGGCCGACGGGAAGAACATGTGGAGGACTAGGAGAAGACTGTCCTGGATGCCGAGTCTGATTTACCCACTGGCTGGTCACGTGGCGCGCTAGTATTCTCTCCTCTCCTCGCCCACACGATCGATTGGATGGAGGGTCGAAAGGGCAGGCTGGGTGAGTGGCGTGTCAGGCGTAGGTTTGTTTCTATCGTCTTCTCCCCAATCCCCCCTCGAGAAGCGAACTGCATGCAATAGGTACAAGCGGTGGCCTGCATCGCTATGGTGGTGTAGATTTCGCGGGTCCTGTATAACATGTGTTTGATATTCCGATTGTGTCAGTGATTATTGTTTCGCACGTGTCTCAGTGTACATCAGAGGGATCGGCATGCTCAACTGTTTCGTGAACGAACGAAACGATTTGGATCGCCTTACCGTGCTCTGTCCTTTCTTAGTGGACAAGCGGGGGGATCCGCTTGCTGACCAAGGCTTTGGCCTGGTCTTCCCCCTAGGCATTTTGTTGCACAAGTGCACAGTAGGGGCTCGACCACAAGAAACCTTCCACGGGAAACCCAACCCTGGAACCCCAGGAAGTCCATTGATTTTTGGTGTGGGAACGTCACGCGTTCCATAGCAACACCCTCGGAACCCAAGAAACCTAGGGCACCCTGGAGGCAAGCAGGGTGTTTCTTGACATGGGTCTCCACTGTATGCTCGACATGCTTCGTGCCCGCCCCCCTTCTCGGCACTGACAAGTCGCTTTCGGTGGGCTCCGGGCGCTCCTGAAGAGCCCCCAAGCGGCCCCCAAGCTGAATCAGACTGGGTTCCAGGTGCACCAGGAGGATCCAAGACGGCCCCATGGCACCATCAACATATCGAGGCAGAAACTGTCTCATGGGCGGCATTCGACTCCAAATCCGTGAGCCTCATTCCTTGACCTCATTCCCCCCGTTCAAATCCACTTATCCTTCCCCCCTCCCCCCTCCATCTTCCCCCCCTTCATCCTCCCCCGTCCATCATCCCTCTTCTCAGGTCCCTCCCTTGCTTCGTATTTCCTGCATGAAACGCGGCGCGGCGCCGGGTGCTCTACAACGCCCTGCCAGACCTCGCGCAGTGGGAAGGGGAAGGGGCTGGCGCCGTTCGGTCAATCACGGAGACGCATGGCATGGCGGCAATACACACGGGACAATTCGGGATCGGCATGACATGCGATATGGCAAACCATCATGGCCTCTCTTGCGACCATGGTGGTCGGCAGGGTGATCCGCATGATGGATGCAGTGATCGACACGAGGGCTTCACATTATCCTCCCTGGTCCTAGGCGGACACTCGACCAAACATATGACCACGATGATTCACAACCCCATCAAGCCAGTGCCGTGTTGGCACTGGCCTGCACTGGGCGGAGAAGGCGCCCTTCGCCCGAAAGGGCGCGAGGTTGCTGGCGTGTCCCGTTTCGGGGCCCTCTGGGGTCCCCCTTGAGTACTTTTGTTCCCAACCATCCTGTGGTGTTGGGTTCTCGTTTTGAAGAGAGGGTCCCCGCGTCCCTTCACTCCTGTTCTCCTCTCCTCTCCTCTTCATTCCTCCTCTTTTCCTCCCTCCTCTTTCCTCTCGTCACTCTCTCACTCTCACTCTCTCTCTCACACGCTTCGTGGCCCCACTGTGAGCTCCACCTAAGGTCCCACTGGCGCAGTTCGCATGGTGGCGCCGCCCCATTCTGGCACGCCCCTCGCACGCTTCGTGGCTCCATCGGGAGCTCCACTCAAAGTCCCACTCGTGCAACTCGCATGACGGCGCCGCCCCATTTTGGCACGCCCCTCATTCGCTTCGTGGCCCCATGGGGAGCTCCACCGAAGGCCCAAATGGCAGGGTTCGTATGGCGGCCAAGCCCCATCTCGGCACACCATCACACGTTTCGTGGCACCAAATGAGCTCCACCCAAGGTCCCACTGGTGCAGTTCGCGTGGCGGCGCCGCCCCATTTTGACGCGCCCCTCACACGTTTCGTGGCCCCACAGGGAGCTCCACGTATGGTCCCAGCGGCGCGGTTCGCAGGGCGGCCCCGCCTTGTTTCGGCACGCCCCTCACACGTTTCGTGGCCCGATAAGGAGCACCACTTAAGGTCCAAACAATGCAAATCGCATGGGGGCGCCGTCCCATTTTGGCACGCCCTTCATACGCTTCGTGGCCCCATGGGGAACTCCATCGAAGGTCCCAGCGACACAGTTCGCATGGCGGCGCCACCCCATTTTGACGCGCCCCTCACACGCTTCGTAGCCCCATCGGGAGCTCCACCTAAAGGCCCGTGGCGCAAATCGCATGGCGGCGCCGCCCCTGGTACCCCCCTCACTGGCCCATTGGAATTTCCACCTGAGGTCCTGGTGGCAAATTGCGCCTGGCGGCGCCGGCCAATTTTAGCACACCCCTCACGTTTTCGTGGCCCCATCGGGAGATCCACCTGAGGGCCCCGTGGCGCAAATCGCATGGCGGCGCCGCCCCTTTCTGGTACCGTCCTGACACGCATCGTGTACCCATAGGGAGCTCCACCTGAGGTCCCAATGGCGAACTGCGTCTGACGGCGAAAGCCAATTCTGTCACACCCCACACGTTTTCCTGGCCCCATAGGGGAACTCCACCGAAGGTCCAAGCGGTGCAGTTCGCGTGGCGGCGCCGCCCCATGTTTGCACGCCCCTCACACGCTTCGTGGCCCCATAGGAACTCCGTCTAAGGTCCCAGTGGTGCAGCTCGCATGGCGGCGCCGCCCCATTTTGACGCGCCCCCTCGCACGCTTCGTGGCCCCATAGGGAGCTCCATCTCAAGGTCCCAGTGGCGCAAAGTGCATGGCGGCGCCGCCCCATCTTGGCACACCCTTCTCACGACCTCGTGGTATCATAGCGAGTTCCACCCAAGGTCGCAACGGTGCAGTTGGCGCGGCGGCGCCGCCCCATTTTGGCACACCCCTCGCACGCTTCGTGGCTCCATGGGGAGCTCCAGACCTTCTTTCGGTCCTGTGGACTCGCCTCAGGCCGTCGGCTGTCCGGCGCGTTGCCCCTTCGATCGACGTCGCCCAGGCGCGATCCTGGACTGCGGCCGCCACGAGGCCGGGAACGGCAAAGGGGAGAACGACGACTGGCGGCTGGAGCTCTACGCGCTGCTCTCGCGCGCCACCCGCCACGAGGACCTCCTGCTCACGCGGGCGCCGCGCATCGAGTTATTTCTGGCAGGGCTGCTGGAGGGCTTGCGGAAACAGTTGGAGCAGTTTGCGGCGCGCGCGAAGCGGCGCAGGAGGGAGGCGACGGCCCTCGCCAGGGAGCTGTACTTGACTGAATTTATCCGCCAGGCTCGACCTGAAGAGCGGCCCGCCCGAGCCCCGCCTTCTCTCGACTGCCCAACTGTTCGGCCTCGCGCCGCGGACGACCCGCGCGCGTCGCTGGGACTCTCTCGGGCGGGGCAACCAACGCGCGTCGCGGGAACTCCGCGCGGCGCTATGCCGAGCGCTTCGCTCGCCCGTCGTCGCTCTGCCCAGCGGCCGGATCCTTGCCCGCCATCAGCCAGCCAGCTAGCCCTCTTTGCTCCGCGCCGCGGACGACCCGCGCGCGTCGCTGGGGCCCTCTCGGGGCGACCAGCGCGCGTCGCGGGAATTCCACACTGCGCTCTGCCCAGCGCCTCGCTCGCCCGTCGTCGCTCTGCCAGCGGCCGGATCCTTGTCCGCTATCAGCCAGCCAGCTAGCTGCAAATAGATTCACTCGCACGCAGACTCATTCACAATCAGACTCACTCGCGCTCAGACTCACCCGCGCTCAATCTCTCGTGCTCAGACCTATCGTCTTTGCTCGCGTTGTGTACCCCACCACACACGTCGGCACGCCCTTTTATACGGTTCGTGGCCCCATGGGGAGCGTCACCGAAGACGATATTCAGAATTGCGATACTCACAACTGCATATGGTTGGGCCCTTCGCCAGGCGAAGGTTCCCAACCATCCTGTGGTGTTGGGCCCTCGTTTTGAAGAGACAACGCCCCGCGTCCCACTTCTCCTCCCGCTGCCCCCTCCTCCTCCTCTCCTCCGCCTCTGCGCCTATGCCCTCCACATGTCTCTGTTTCGGCACACCCCTCACACGTCTCGTGACACCATATGAAACTCCACCGAAGGCCCCACTGGCAGGGTTCGCATGTGGGCGCCGCCCCATTTCGGCACATCCCTCACACGCTCCGTGGCCCCATAGGGAGGGAGCTTTTCCGAAGGCCCAAATGGCAGGGTTCGCGTGGCGGCTCCGCCTCATCTCGGCGCACCCCTCACACGTCTCGTGGCACCATAAAGAGCTCCACCGAAGGCCCCACTGGCAGGGTTCGCATGGCGGCGCCGCCCCATTTCGGCACATCCCTCACATGTTTCGTGGCACCATATGGAGGGAGCTCTTCCGAAGACCCAAATGGCAGGGTTCGCATGGCGGCTCCGCCTCATTTCGGCGCACCCCTCACACGTCTCGTGGCACCATATGAAACTCCACCGAAGGCCCCAAGTGGCAGGGTTCGCATGGCGGCTCCGCCTCATTTCGGCACAAACCTCACACGTCTCGTGGCACCATATGGAACTCCACCGAAGGCCCCACTGGCAGGGTTCGCATGGCGCCGCCGCCCCATTTCGGCACATCCCTCACACGTTTCGTCGCCCCATATGGAGGGAGCTCTTTCGAAGGCCCAAGTGGCAGGGTTCGCATGGCGGCTCCGCCTCATTTCGGCGCACCCCTCACAAGTTTCGTGGCCCCATATGGAACTCCACCGAAGGCACCACTGGCAAGGTGCGCATGGCGCCGCCGCGCCATTTCGGCACATCCCTCACACGCTTCGTGGCCCCATAGGGAGGGAGCTCTTCCGAAGGCCCAAGTGGCAGGGTTCGCATGGCGGCTCCGCCTCATTTCGGCACACCCCTCACACGTCTCGTGGCACCCACCGAAGGCCCCACCGGCAGGGTTCGCGTGGCGGCGTCGCCCCATTTCGGCACATCCCTCACACGTTTCGTGGCCCCATAGGGAGGAAGCTCTTCCGAAGGCCCAAGTGTCAAGGTTCGCCTGGCGGCACCGCCTCATTTCGGCACACCCCTCACACGTCTCGTGGCGCCATGGGAAGCTCCACCGATCACGCGCTTTGTGGCCCCATAGGGAGGGAACTCTTCCGAAGGCCCAAGTGGCAAGGTTTGTATGGCGGCTACGCCTCATTTCGGCGCACCCCTCACACGTCTCGTGGCGCCATATGAAACTCCACCGAAGGCCCCACTGGCAGGGTTCGCATGGCGCCGCCGCCCCATTTCGGCACATCCCTCACACGTTTCGTCGCCCCATATGGAGGGAGCTCTTTCGAAGGCCCAAGTGGCAGGGTTCGCATGGCGGCTCCGCCTCATTTCGGCGCACCCCTCACAAGTTTCGCGGCGCCATAGGGAGCTCCACGGAAGGCCCCACTGGCAGGGTTCGCATGGCGGCCCCGCCCATTTCGGCACACCCCTCACACGTCTCGTGGCGTCAGAAGGGAGCTCCACCGAAAACCCCAGTGGCAGGGTTCGCATGGCGGCCCCGCCTCCATTTCGGCACACCCCTCACGCGCTTCGTGGCCCCAGATGGAGCTCTTCCGAAGGCCGAAATGGCAAGGTTCGCGTGGTCTCTGTGGGCGACCGCTATCCGCGACGGTCGTCCATGGCGTTCCGTGACGGTCGTCCAGAACAGAACAAACATGCCACATTCTCGACACCATAGCGCGGCCGCTATCCGTGACCATCGTCCACGACATTGCAAGCGTGAATATTCTCGACACCAGAAGGGGGTGCGCAGGGGTGGTCTCTGATGACGGCCACTATCCTTGACGGTCGTCCAGGGCATAGCAGGCATGGCATATTTTCGGCAACATAGTGGGCGCGCAAAAAGGTGGTCTCTGAACGCGGCCGCTAGCCGTGACGGTCGTCCAGGGCATAGCAGGCGTGGCGTTTTCTCGACGCATTAGGGATTGCGCAAGGTGTGGGCTCTGAAGGCGGCCGCTATGCGTGACGGTCGTCAAGGGCATAGCAAGCATGCCATATTCTCGACGCCAAAAAGGGTGCGCAAGGGGTGGTCTC